TCACCAAATTTCGTCTAAAGTGATGAAGGACTGGTAAAAGAAGAATTTTCTTTGCTTTTCCAAAAGCAAGTCTATGTGAAATTCAATGAAAACGTCAGCTCAACTCATATCATTGTGGGAAAATTCTTCTTCTACCAGTCCTTCATGACCTTAAACGAAATTGGATGAATACATGTCATATTAGTATACTATCGTCTAATGTTGAATCATGTTTGGGCTTTTGCTATTGTCTATTGTGTGTATGTAATGCTAATGTGATGAGAGGTGTGATAGTCCTAGCTAAACTCGAGACTAATCCAGCCTCCTTCTCTTGTTTAATGATTCTTCATGAACTCCCTCTCGCTCTCTCTCCTTAAGCCTATCCAACAGCCGCAGATAATTCCTACTCAGTTCTTCCTATTCACTACTTTGGCTGTTTTGTTAGTTTCTATAGCCTCCATAATCTTACGCTTTAATGCAAAGTCCTCGTAAGCCGCAACATATGCGTTTTGGAACAGTCTATTGAGTGTCCTGTATTGGCCATGTTTTGGGAGAACTCAGATTTTGAGACCTACAGACCTATACAAATAGTTTGTGCTCTCATAACCTCCTGTGAATGGGTCAAGTCTCCCCACAGTGATCTTACCACATGGGAACAAAAGCTTGTAGCAGCCTGATATAGAATGAGGGTATACAAATTCTCTAAAGGAAGGAACTACGGGAGAAAGTGTTAATTTCTCTTTATACCTTGTTTTTATGTTCCATTTCCTAAGTAGTTTGCCCAACTTTTCTTATACACGTCTCTACCTAACTTTGCTCACTAATACATCCAAAAAAGACAATTTATTTTATTTTGCAAAGTCTATAGTAAACTGAGTATTTGTATCTATTCTATTGATTAGCTCAAGGAATTTCCCCCCAACTATATTTGCCGTGTTGCCAAACAGCACAATAATCATCCATATAACAAACTAATAACTTGGAAACTAGGAGTGCCTCTTAAAAAAGACAGACTTCTAATTGGGCCATGCAGTTATTAGCTAAACTAGAGGCTAAACAAGATCCCATAGACAATCCCCGTGTTTACACGTACAACTCACCATTGAAGGTAAAATATGTATTATACATTGCCAAATTGACTAATCTAATGATCGAATCCTTGCCTACCTTTTTACCTGTTATAATCTCAGTTTGTTGATCTAAAATTAATTATAATGCCTTCATTGTCTCAATTATCAGAATGTTAGTGTATATAAGCAGTACATTGAAACCTACCAGTAAATATCGAAAGCTTAGCACAGGTTCATCGGCGTCACACAATTCAACAGTTTCTCTCACTACGTGGCAACCCTCCTTCGGTTTCCGGTGAGTCCACATCAAGCATTCTTTCTTACCAATTTTTCCTTCGAAATGAAAAGTCATATCACAATATATCACTAAGTAGTTCTTCGAAACCCAGTTTTTCTTCATATTGAAAATTGTTGCCAAGATGACCAAACTGCATCTCTCAAAGGTGGGTTTGGCTGCGCCTGTGCAACCAAGTTGCCCTAAGTCAAGTCATATTCCTTGGTCTAATACCACTGCTGCTCTAAAAGCTCTTCATAAGTGGGCTTCGAACTCATTACTACCAAAACGGACATCATAATTTTTCTCTTCCCTCCATTTGGACTGTTGTCTGAATGGAGAGGTGCTAATGCCCAAACCCTAGGGCAAACCTGATCATGCACAAAAATTATGTTTCCGGCTTGTGTTAAAAAGACGGCGATACTACTTATAAGGGCAGATTACAAAACAGTCTTCAGGAGGGCCCTGCGTACTTGACGATAAATGACAAAACTAGCATTTAGAGGTTCAAGTTAGTGCGAGAAACCAGTCAAGTGATTTGGGATAAAATAGGATGAAGAATCCCTCCCTCGATGTATCCGCGTGGGAAATAAAAACCCTTCCAACAAAATTATACAAAGTATAAGAAACCTTAAATGCATAAATTCAAATCTTATAAGAAGAATGCGAAATTGTGAGTAAACTCTACGAAGATATGATTGTCTTGCCTAGACGTGGATGAAAATAGCCCCGGTATCGTGAACCATCAGGACTAGTTAAAAGTAATCGGAACAGATAAAACCGACCCTAAAATAAATATACATTTTAACTCGATTGTGAAAATGTGAAAGTTAAATTGTGTCGCAAACTTTGCGGTTTGGCTTGATTTTATAATGTCGATTATAATGATTAAGTATACTCATGAGTCAACGTTTTAGCACAAGTACAAGAGGCATACGTCAAATTACTTTCTTATACGATCCAATATACCCCTGGCTCCAGGCAAGCAAGTTGCTAGATTATAGACGGAATCTATCTATGTGAAACGCATGCTAGAACTAAATAATGCATTTTAATACGTTCTTCATAGAACGTTGGTCACATGTTTAGGATTTAGATCAGGAAGAAGAAGATGGTTTGCTAAGTGGATTCGTTGCAAATTTCTAACATAATAAATAAGTTTTATTCCATGATCTATTATCTGAGAAATAAATCAATAAACCCAAAAATTATAAAAATGTACTGCATTCTAAATTCCACAATACTAATCTATATTACCGAGCCAAGATTATTTTATTCATTCGATTAACCAATACAAAATATTTTCGTGCATGAGTGTTTATTATGCCTCTTTAGATACAGTAAGCTTATAAACTAATTACAGTTTAGAGAGTGGCTAAGATGTAGTCATAATAATAATAACTCTTACTTTTCACATTTTGATTAGGGACACCGAGGGTTGACGTGTAAAATTTTCTCTTTATAATTAAAAATAAATGTGCACAACGCTGTATAGTCAAGGAAATTGACTTCAGCAGTTTACTGGCCGCCATTAGGTGGTCATCGTTGTTGATGGAGTTGAAGTATAGATTCCCTCCTTGCGGCAGCGAACATTTGTCTAGCCATTTGCATCTCCTCCTCGTTGGTCATTCTGTTGATAGAATATTGCTAGCAAAAATAAAATAAAAAAGTTTTTGGATAGTATGAAAAACAGTAAATATATTTTATTAAGATGATACTACTTATATGATATGAGTAACCAATATATATATAAGAATTTATTAGCTTACATTTGGCAATGCAGATCTAAGAAATCCCATCACTCCGCCACTCAGTAGGCCGTCGCGCTCAGGGCCTTGATCTCTCATTGACGGATCGCTTCTCCTGGGGTTAACAAGGAAAAATAAATACGTTCAAGACCTTACTCATTTTTATTATTGTCGAGAGAGTAACTCGGGGTTTATTTTCATTTAAATATACCAATTCATGATATAGTGAAAAAGGGACTTAAATATATGGAGGAATATGCAGTATTAATAGTTATTAAAAACATTTACACGCATTTTTGGCTAACTTATCAGCATCCTACTGTATGCCATAAATGAAGCGAAACAACTCACTTGTGGCTTGCTGATTAGAGGTACCGACAATTAAGTTATAAATTATTAGTGTTGCTTCTCATATCTACGATATAAATTATCAGCTTGAGACATGACTTAACTTCAGTTATGGAGCTGCGCATGGCAAAAATCTTTATCAGCAAAGCTTGGCCGTCTTCACACCATCGTCTTGATCACACTGAGATGGCCAACAATCGGTAGGCACAACAATTCACCTAAGACATGAAGACCAGGATGGTGTGGCCTGTTGGATGGCCGCGGTCTCCATACGATAATGCACACACGTCGTGGATATGATCACGCTAGCTCAAGAATCCCCTCAACCTGTAACAACCTAGTAGACGTATTCTCTTAGGCCTTGTATCAGCTTGATCTTGCGCATCTTTGCTTATTTATTGCCAAATACGCTGTAATTATCCCCCTACTGCCCTGGATACTGTGTGTAGATATTATTACAAATGGAATGTCCGCATAGAATGAGTGAATGGCGTACAAAGAGGATTGTGCAAAAATGTGGCACAGTCGACAGTATTAGCTACAGAGCCCGGGGTAGTTGGGCGTAACACAGTCGTTAACAGACAATATTCAGTAACCGAATAGAGTAAATGAACTTTGATATGCATCCCTCACATGGGCGTAAGGCAGGGCTGGCAACAAACGAGGATAAAAGACATAAGGTTGCGGTTCAGCGCTACGCAAATGTACCAAAATGTCTGGCATACCTTTATGTGCATACCGTAAGTACACACACAAGCCTGCAGCTGTATCAGTTCCGCATGAACATCCAAGGCGCGAAAAGATGCGTTTTCTCTGTTGATGAGCCTGACTGAGGCTATATGGTCTCGGCTGGAGGAGAGGGAATAGGACAGGAAAAAGATGGGGACAATTTTGTGCCTGCAAGAGATGCCTGTGGAGTAAATCTGCGAAAGAGAATAAGTCATAGAAGCAATTTGATGGAATCACACAGTCCGACTGAATAGAACTGGTTTGGAATAAGCTGATGCAAGTGCAGCGGCCTGTCGAGTAGTACAGACTTCCTAAGCCGAGATGTGGGAATCCGACTAAATGGGGGCAAGAAAAAAACTCCGAATTGAGCAGGATTTTGAGGCTATCAGTAGACCTTTAGTCAGCTTGGGTGGTGAATTTATTCACAATAGCGGCGGAAAATTTCACTCGGTCCTACTTATAAAAGATATTATCATCTTGGGTGAACGGCAGTTACGACTGAAAGTCCTAATAAATTGGAAAACAAGTAACGCTGTCTATTGTCATGGCAAATGCATGTTTATATACGAAGAAAAGTTGGGTTTCGAGGAATCTCTTGTTTCATAATTGTTGAGCTTGAGTTTTCTTGACTCGTTAGCTTGAATTTTGTTATGACGATGTCACCTC